GATTGCTGAAATAATCCTTGCAATTTGTATCATGTCTTTTACATCAAAAGGACATCTCAAATGCTTCACAAGATTTACTGTCGAATCTAGTGACTGTATTTGCAGGCTCATGGGACAACCCATTTGTGTACAGCAATGTCCCACAAACAGCCATGAAACTAATGACCAATTTTATTTATTTGGGTAATTGTTGGCCAAGACACTGGGAGAAATGCCCTCCTATTTTCAAATTGTGCCTAAGGATCATTAATGTCCACCTAAACAGGCAGATGGGATCTTGGTTTAACAACCTAACTGACAGGTGGTACCTCTGACAATATAATGCTCCCCTCAAAATAAACAACAACTAGCATTTAAAAATTACCCTTCACGCAGGGTAGTATCTCAGAGTACTGCAGCTGGGTTGGAAAAGAGAGGGGGGAGAGTTATCCACAGGCACGGTCATTGAGGTAGGTCTCCAGATGCGATTTAAAGATAAGGAGGGTTAAAGTGGAAGGATTGAGCCAGGGAGTTCCAGATCTTAGGGATATACTGGTTGTAGGCATGGCCACCAATAGTGGCACAGAAGGGTTGGAGGACACTCAGGCTGTGTAAGCTGAGCAAAGGTGACAGGTAGAGGAGTAGAATAGGAGCATGTCAGAGAGGTAGGGAGGTTCTAGGGTGTGAGGGAATTTGTATATCAGGGTGAGGATCTGAAGTTGATCGTTCAGAGACAGGGAGTCATTGGAGCCAGTGAGAATTAGGGTGAAGGATGCGCAGAGTTTGATACATGTGAGGACATGGACGTCAAGGTTTTGTGTTAGTTGTACTTTGTAGATAGTGGAACTGGGAGACCAGCAAGAAGTGTGTTTGAGAAACCAAGGTGACAAAGACATGGATGAGGGTTTCAGTGGCATTAGGTGAATGCAGAATTAGCACTGCACTATAATATTATGCCAGCCACAATTATGAGCTCCATATCCCCATTTGAGAGTTAAACCCATAACCTTCTGACTCAGAGACAACAGTGCTACTAACTGATTCCTGGGATGAGAGGTTTTACTTCTGAGGGTAGATTGAAGAAAATGTTTTTTTCCAAGAACAGAGAAGGTTGAGAAGCAACCTGAAAGAGGTTCTTAAAATTCTGTAAGTGTTTTGACTAAGTAACAGAGATAAATTATTTCCACTGGTTAGTGAGTTGGCACCAAAGGGCATAGATTTAAAGTAATTACAGAATGGACTACAACAAAATTATTTGTAAAGCACCTTTTACTTTGGGAGGATGTTCCAAGGCGCTGGACAGACAGAGCTGGGGTCGGGGTCGGAGAGGGTGGAGGGCAGGGGGGTAGAAGGGGGATCGAAAGCTGGGTCGAAGATGAGGGTCTTGAGATGGGTCTTGAAGGTGGTAAGGGAGGGGACGAGGCGGAGGGACTGTGGGATGGAGTTCCAGAGGGTGGGGGCAAATTTGCGGAAAGCCCGCCTGCCAATAGTGGGACGAGCAAGGCGGGGGACGTGAAGCAGGCCGGAGCCCGCTGAGCGGAGGGAGCGAGCAGGATGGTAGGGAGTTAGGAGGTGGCAGAGGTAGGGGGGAGCAAGGCCATGGAGGGCTTTGAAGGTGAGGGCCAAAATCTTGAACTGTATCCTCTGTGTGATGGGAAGCCAGTGGAGTTGAGCAAGGATGGGGTGATAGGATCGTGGAGCCTGGTACGGGAGAGGACACAGACTGCAGAGTTCTGGATGATCTGGAGCTTGTGGAGGGAGGAGTTGGGGAGGCCGACAAGCAATGAATTTGCATAGTTGAACCTCGATATAATGAAAGCGTGTATGAGGGTTTCGGTGGCCTGCGGTGTGAGACTGTGGCGGAGCCGGGCAATATTGCGGAGGTGGGGGGAGGTAGAGCAGGTCATGGCGCAGATATGGGGTAGAATAGATAGTTGAGGGTCAAACAAGAACCCAAAGTTCCAGACTGGCTCAGTGAGGTGGAGTGTGCAACCATGGATGGTGATATTGTCAGTGCCTGAGGTGAGGAGGCTCTGACGGGAGCCAATCAGGAGAACCTCGATCTTGTTGACGTTCAACTGAAGAAAGTTAGCTCTCATCCAGGACTTGATGTCTGACAGACATTCAGTCAGGACAGCAGTGGTCCTGGAGTCAAGGGTGGAGGCAGAGAGGTAGAGTTGGGTGTCATCCGCATACCTTGTGGAAGTTGACCCCATGTCTGCGGATGATGTCATGCATAGGGAGCATATAGATATTGAAGACAAAGGAAGAGACGAACATAATTTTATTTACACAGTGGGATAGTGGTGCATGTATTGCTCACCTGGAACAATGGTTGAGGCAGAATCCAATCATGCATTTAAGAGCAAATTAAATAAATATCTGAAAAAAAGAAATATGAAATCATATGGGAAAAAGACAGGGGAAGGGGACTGATTGGATAGCTCTTTCCCAGAGCAAGCACAGGCATGATGAACTAAATTGTTTCCAGTCCTGTAAATTCTACAGCTCTTGGTTCCAGCTTAACATATTCCAGTGGAGTTTATCCTGTAATTCACTGACAAGTGATTTCTTAGTAAAGATGATCGCAGTCACATTCCAGTAGAATGATTTGTGATGGAGCTTTGTTTAAACAGAGATATTGAATCAAAACTCAGTTCTACAGAGGAAGGTTAACTGAGGGGCCTAGCATACTTTTTCTCTGCCAGAATTTGCAGATGAGTAATGCAGACATGACTTGGAAGTTTACTTTCTTGAACAACAAAGGAAAAATATTACAGTGAGTAATAGGAAATTTAATTCTACACCAGTCCAGCATTTGTTTTTAATAGGTTTTATATATAAAGTTTACACTTCTCACCCTCGCTAGTTTATTCCAACAATAACAACATTTTCATATCGCGTCTACCACATCAAAATGTCACAAACCACTTCCCAGATTTCCTGTGAAGTGTAGTGGCTGTATTTGTAAGCAAACATGGCAGCCAATTTCCCACAGCAATGACCCACAGACAGCCACAAAATGAATGACCAATTATATCTGGAAGATTGTTGGCCAGAACTCCAGGAGGTACTCCCTTCCCTTTTTGAACAGTATCATCTATAACGTCCACCTGAACAGGCAGTCAGGACTTTTAACATCTGTTTAACATCTCATCTGAAATATGCTATTTCCATGAATTCAATGTTCCCCTAAGCAATGTCCTGGAACATCAGCCTAAACTATAAGCTCAAAATCTTGACGTGGGGTCTGAGGCCACAACATTCTGACCTAGTAGAGTATCAAACGAAGTAGGCTGACACCTCTTCCTAAGGATTTGGGATTGATGAAAAGAACATTTTATCTATGGTATATACATATATATCTATATATATATAGTCTATACATATATATTGTATATATATATATATGACTCAGAATAATTGGAACAATCATCTAGTAATAACATGCTGGATAGTTATGCCAGCAAATTCATGAGGGAATTAGGTAGAATTAGATAGTTATTTGGAGTCAAAACAATTGAACGGTTTGACACACAAGTTTTACATATTTGTTTGACTACACGAGCATCTTGACGGACTGTAAATTGCTCTGTTCCTTAATCCCTACCCAATCATGCAACTTGAATGAATCTTCATGTAGAGTCATGTAGCTCAGTGGTTAGAGCACTCACCTTGCAAGCTAGAGGATCTGGACTTGATTCCCGTCAGGGTGAAACTTTGGGCAAGTTTCCTTACTCCACACACCTCTGTTTATCTAACAGTAAGTAGGAATCCTGTTGTTAGTAAATTGGCGGATTACTTTTCCAGGGGTAATAATCCCTCTCAAAAAAAATTTGGTCACTCAGTCCACGATTGTTTGTGGGGCACTGCTGTGCATAATTGGCTGCAGTGTTTCGCCCACAAAATATACGGTCAATTCACTTTACAGTATATTCTGTGAAGCACTTTGAGACATCTCGAAGAATAAGGCACTATATCAAATGCAAGGATTATTATTATTACTGTAATTGAAGAAATAAACAATGATTCTCAGATCCCACACATTAGATTTCCGAATTCGATGTGATTTTACTGTTAGTGCAAGGAAATAAGATTTTTTTAATAACAGGAAGTTGTTCCTGCACAATGATTTAAATTATTACTGTTTCTTAATTCTGTAGTCAAAATTAAATACATTATACAGTACTTGGACTTTCAAAATGGCCCCATAGGACTGTAATTTATAAATATTGAACGGTGATGTTATTGAAGTTTGTGAGATGAGAAGATCATTATAGTTCAATCACCTAGACCAGATGTGAAATATAAACAGGCCATTACTCTCCTTCAATTTTAGGTCCCATGTCTGCTCTCCTGAAGTCAGCCACTTGAACACTTCATCCGTAGTGTTCACATGTAGGGTGAAGATAGGATCAGGTGTGAACGTCAAGCCATTTAATTTATTTAGTTATGTAAATGATTTACATTAACCCACAATTATCTAAGAAGCAACCATTCCCTAGAACTGATGAATACAAACTCTCCTGGCAAAGAAACTAAAGAAATAAAGTTAAAAATAATGTGAACTAAAATGAGGTGCAAGAAAATAACCTTTTTTTTAAAAAATCGCAAAATCATTATTTTGTCTCTTTTCTGAATTGATAGTTGTATAAATGAATTATTCTATTCAGAAAGGGCATACAGCAACATTAAATTTGCAAGCGTTTAGTACGAATATGTATTTTAAATAAATTAAAGTGTATCTATAGGAGAGTCAGTGAGTCCATTGTAAGCCAAATAAAAAGGCTACGAATGCCACATCTTTATGCATTAAAATTAAATAATAGTTGTTTATTAGTTGGAGCATTGGTCATAAAAAAATTAAGAGATTGTATTCTCAAATGTCAGCAATTCACTGTGATCACTAAAGTTCAATGTCAAGTTTATTATTTAATTCGAGAGAGGATCCAACTAACAGAACACACAATAGTGATTATAACACAGGAAAGTGGAGCAGAAAGTTTTCAACAAATAAAAAAATTGAAGATGTGTTTAAGCACTATTAATAGTGTAATAGATTTTTTTTACTCTTACTCTACCAGGCTTCCCAGTCTCCCAGATTAGTTGGTAAGTGAAATATTGGTTGAAAAGATCTTTAGAAACAATAGTGTAAAATTTGAGTACTTTCATAATGCATTCCTTGCATTAATTAACACAATGCACATGCCAATCTATGTTCACCTATCCAATGTGTTCAGGCTCAATTTATTTAACTCTGACCATATAACTTTTCATTAGTTGCTGATAATTAAATAGAAACATAGTTATTAAAGTTCATAGTATATGTACATTTTATTTTGTTCCAAAAATAGCAAATTGTATATTGTATATTAAGAACATAAATGTGGAGTTGATAAAAGCCCCATAGTAAAATATCTGGCTAATTGTTATACAATATACAGACTTAAGCTTTGTACCAGTAACACTAGCTCCCAGTTTACTCATTAACACATTTTCGTACACATATTAAAATATTAATACGTTCTTGTAGTTTTTATATCGTTTACAATTTATTTCAATAAGTTCTGTCTATCCAACAATGAATGTAGGCAGAAATTAAATGGAATTCGCATTCTGATGCTGCCATCTCTCCTGGGACTGAGATCGAAACTCAATCTCAGCTCTTGGTAATACCTGAGCATTTGGTTAATACAGGACTGACAAACACAGCTTGAAAAAATGTCTGCTGTAACCGCAAACCATCACGAAAATTCCCATTAATGCAAAGATGCCAGTTCAAATTACAATGCACAATGTTCAAGCTTAATTTGTACTGAAAATAACATCTCTTTAAAATAGACATGCACTTTCTCACTATTTATAAATACATATTTTTAAAATGTAAATGCCTTAAAATACAAACACATGGTAAAAAGCAAAACACCTTCAAAACCTTGTTTCTGATGCACCACGCCTTAACTTGTTATCTAGAAATTCATTACTTTCAAAACTTAGATTATTGTGAGATCTTGAGATCATAAGTAATTTCTCTTTATTGGTAAAATCACGTTTTACTGTGGTATGTGGTACAAGTAACCTGTCCATAGGATCCTCTTTATTTTCCAGTTTAACATAACCCTTACTGTTACTTCGGTCGAGTCTCGGCCAACTTGGGTGCTTTCTTTGCTCTGCTTGAACTGTGAGTGTCAAGGGACCTCCCTCCAAGTCCAATGATTTTGAATGACAAGACAACATGTGAAGAGAAGAGTTTGATCCAAATTCTTTCTTGGAGTTACTTGGTGATAGATATATTCCAATGGGTGCATCAAGGGACATGTTAGGTGGATACCCATCTGTTGTGGTGCTGTTGCTTCTCAGCAATCGTGGGCTACGTGGTTTATAGGAGTCATTAATGTCAATTGATGGAACTACTAAGGAGGCCATAGATGGCTGTCGAGATCGACCTTTGCTGGGATCACTATCCTCTGTGATATTATCAAGATCAGGCTCATCAATGACACAGTTGTTGAGTTTAATAACAGGGAGTGTGAAAGCACTGATGGACGATGAAACAATCGACTTTGTGTCACATTTTTTAAGGTTGCTATTTTTTTCTTCTTTTCCCCTTGGAATTCCTGGCTGTAGTCCACAGATGGACCCTGGTGGCATGTGGGACACTGGGGATAAGAGAGTGGAGTCTTCTTTAAATGGTCCTTCATCTTCTTCATTGGAGTTCCAATTCCGTGAAAAAGTGCCATCATTAGGCGGACCCGCAAATGACAACAATACATTAGCCGCTAATTTAGCAGCACAATGATTTTCATAATATTTGATATCAGACTCAACAGGGTGACCAGTCCAAACCCCATTCATATGTCTCTGTTCTTTAATTCTTTGGCTGTGGATGTCAATGACAGTGGAATAAATGTCTCGCATCTGTATCACTTTTGTTTCTTTGTCCCTGTTTTCATGTAATATTGCATTAGCGCAAATAAATATAAAGATCCCTATCCCCATGGTGAAAGGGCCAAGCATTTTCATTTTTTCAGAGTTTAGATGCTGTACAAAGAATTCTGCTATTACTCCTTCGTGATTTGTAACTATACCAGAGTCGTTGGTAGAAATTCCAGCTTTGGGAAACATAGCATGTTTCTTAACTGCCTTTTGCGGCCAATAACCAAGAACTGCCATTGCAATCCCGACCATCAGGATAAAAATTCCAAGAAAAAGGAAAAATCCAGAAGGAGAGTAGAGTCTGATTTTGCCTCTCACTATAACCACATCAGCTTTGGGTTTACGTTTGGGTCTCCTTTTCTGTGGAACAGATGGAGGAGGAGGCAGATGGTGCTGGGATCTGGCAGAATCTTGTCTCTTAAGGGCTGCCAGCCCTGTTATTACACCCCCTGTTGCTATCATAATAGTGTCTTCCTCCTTCAATAAAAGTAATAAGAGAATACAATTTCAGAACAATACAACTGTGGTTTTGACAACATACATTCATGAATCATCCTCGTGATAACCATAAATAGCAGCTCAGAGAAATGTTTTACTTCAGGGTACATTAAGCAATGCTAAAACGTTAGAAACAACAGTTAATTGTATTAGCAATTAACATTGTTACATATTTACTAACAATTGCACATTGAATTAATAAATCTCTTCAACTCTGCCCTTCATGATATTGCCTTTAACCAGCAAGACAATAATTAAACATATTTATTTACATCAGCATCATGGTAGCACAGTACATTGGAGTTCCAATATCCTGTGCCATGGATTGAAATACAAGTATAAGATTTGGTGAATTATCAATGTAAGCCATGTTATCATGTTGTGTGCTGAAGGTGAAGGTCAGGCACTTGAACAGAAGATACATTGCACTGAAATTCACCTTGGGTCACATCCATAAAACTAGGGCCTGTTCTGACGCTCCTGTGGTTGCTAACTTCAGTGAAAACATAGACATGTAAACACAGGTATAATGCCAAGACATTGAGCCAACATCTAAATTGATGCTCTTCCCAGCATTCCTACCCATTACCAGAAATAAGCAAGAGCTCAAATTAATTTGTTTCGGTTTTGTTAGAGGCTTTTAGAAGCAATTCTTACAGCGTAAATAATAATAATAAAACTTACATTTGGTTTAGCGCCTTTCACATTGAGAGGACATCTCAAAGCATTTCACAGGATATACTGCAAAGTGCAATGACTGTGTTTTGTGTGGGTGAAGGCACAGGAAAATCTGACTACCAACTAGGCCAGTATGACACAGAATTGCACAATTTGGAAAGCACTTCGAAAAGTGATTATTTGATTCCCCAGCATACCTGATGTTTGTGATAATGGGGTTGATTCTGAAAATCACCACAAGGGGTGATAGAATTGAATAACACAGAGGAGCATTCTGCCTGAGATGGTGGGTGGCAGGAGACATTAGCATTCCATCACATTGTATGATGATGAGGAGGATATGGCAGTCTTGGAGCACGCAGGAGATAACAGCTGCACCAGCCCATCCAGTATCTCAACAATAGAGTGCATAACCTGTGCATAACTGAACAGTGTATGAAGAGCCTGAGATTCAGCAGGGAGACTGTGACTGAATTGTGCTACCTCATCCACAAAGACATACAGAGATAGTCTGTTGCTAAATTTTGGACTACCCATGCCATTTGTTTTTTTGGTCAACGAGGTGTTTGACACATGTGGAATTCCATCACCATGCCTAAGAGTATCCAAACCAAATACATCAAAATTCCAGTGGTTGGAATGGAATGCGCACTTTCTCCCTGGAGGGACCCATCCTGTTTACTTAATTCCTTAGAATAGAGATGGCCAACTTGTGCCCCATGGACTGCATGCAGGCCTCTTTACACATGAGTAAGATAATCAAGGGGGCCAAATGTACTTAGAGTATTAGGCGCAAATTGGCAAGAGCCAAGGATTGGGACCCCAGAGTACCTAAGATTTACCCAGCTGAAATCTTATAGTTTGTCATTAAATGCAAGCTTCCTGTTGCTTGTCCAACTTGTACCATTGGTTAGGGCTTTGGCTTACTGGATTAAAAGGAGTTGAGTGGGAAGAATTCTTGTCCTGCATAACCCTCATCCCCCCACCCACTAGACTTACCAATGAGCCAGGCAGGCTGGTGTATCATTAGCAGTGCTTTGAAATATATTAATGCCAGTGAAGGGCAGAAGAGAGGTCAATCAAACTGATGGAAAAAACAATATCCTCCTTGACTTGCAGCATTGCCAGGGATCCCTGATGCTGTGAGGTCCCTACTCTTAGTTATGTTGCTCACTGTCATTAATGCAGGTTATTGTGATGGCACAGAGCTGCTACTGATGTGAGTGCCAGCTGACTGTACCTGTGCTTCCTGTGTGCAACTGATGGAAGAGAGTTTGTCACTAGATTTATTTTGCGCAAAAAAAATTGAGCAGCTGGGAGAGTTTGAAAACATAATTTGGTTGTCTGCCATCTTTTTCCAAGAAAGTTGAAGTCAGCAACAACTGCTTTCTAGAATGTCATCCCAATGCCTTTAAAACAAGCACCAGGAGAGAGATTTTCTACTGCCAGTGATCTATGTAAGTCCAGGTCACCAATGAAGGTTCCACTGGTGTTCCCGGGTGCTCAATTACACACCATTTTACAGCCATCTGATGCTCCATTTTCTTGCTTACGGGGAAACTGCAGCATGCATCTGATTGCTTGGTCCACCAAAAATAACATCCCCACCAGAACAAAAACAATTTCCACTTATATAACATCTTTCATGTAGGGAGAATTTCTCAAAAGTCTGAATAGGAGCCCAAGCTGGGAGGGAGATAGAAGGGGTGGTGTGTATGTGGTGGGAGGAAGTGTCTGAAGGCTCAGTACTTGTAAACCCTCACAAGCAGGATTAAAGAACAACAACAACAACTTGGATTTATGTAGTGCTCTCCACGCCGGACGGCGTCTCAGAGCGCTTCACAGTAACGGATCCCAGGGCCAAGCCAGGGGTGGGAAGGTGACCAAAGGTGCAGTCGAAAAGAAAGGTCTTCACCAGGGACCTGAAAGTAGGAAGGGGGCGAGGCCAAGGGAGTGAGGAAGGACATTCCAGAGCCTCGGGGCATAGTGGCTGAAAGTACGGCCGCCGAGGGTGGAGAGGAGGACTTGGGGGACAAGGAGGAGGCCAGACCCAGAGGAACAAAGGCAACGGGTACTGTTTTGAGGAGAAGGAGGTCAGAGAGGTAGGGGGGTGCAGAGGAGTGGAGGGATTTGAATACAAGGGTGAGGATCTTGAAGTCGAGAACACTAGTCTGATGCTGGTGCAATTTAAGCAGTGTTTTTTTTAAAAAATGAAACTCTTTTTAACATTTTTCATGAAAACAATGCTGTTATTCTGTTACATAACAAAAATTGGACAAGCATGCAAAGAGGGTGGTGGGCCTGGCCTTGGATGGCCGACATGCATAGAAAACACTGCCGTGAGAATTACTTATAGAATTATGTAGAGTCTATGGCGCCAAAAGGCCATTCAATCCAACTAGCCACCAATCCTAATACCCTCACTTCATCCTCCTCCACACCACTCCATTCCCTTCTCTCTTATACTACATGGGAGTCCTGTAGCGTATTGGTTAAAGTACTCTCCTCACAAGCGAGAGGACCTGGATTTGATTCCCATGTGAGGCAAAATGTTTGGCAAGTTTCCTTACACCAGTACCATAGCAGTAAAAGTACTAATTTTACTGAGCAGTAAGTGGGAACCTGGGTGTTAATCGATTGGCAGATCGCTTTTCTGGGGGTAATAATCCCTTCAAAAAAATAATAATAATTTGGTCACTCAATCCACGACTGTTTGCGGGATACAGCTGTGTGCAATTGGATCCCGTGTTTCGCCCACAAAATATATAGTCAATTTACTTTACAGTATATTCTATGAAGCGCTTTGAGATATTTGAAGAAGTTATAATGGGCTATATCAAATATAAGGATTATTATTATGTATGCATTGAGTTTCTTTTCAACTCTGCTTTAACCACAGCTCCTGGCAAAGAGTTTGTTATTCACACCAGCTTCTGTGTAAACAAGTTCCTCCTAACCAAGATCTTAAAAAAATTAAAAAGTGGATATTATGGGGTGAAGGACTAAAATATATCACTGTTGATATATAATAATTATCTAAATACCTAGAAATGTTTGCGAGCAGAGTGGTAGTCCGGGTTAGAACTCAGCCTAAGATCTTGTTTATTTACATCCTAGACAAGTGAGCAAAATATCTGAAATATATTAACCATCAATTGACATAATGTTGAATCAAGGTCACAGTGAAATAAGTCGTATAGTATTCATTGGGTACTGAATGAAATGTATGGAAATTAACATAACCTCAACCATTATGTAAACAATTGCATAACATAATTGTACACTTACAGCACAAAAGGAAGCAATTTGTCTGATCTAAGCTACTTTACCCATGTTATCTATTCCAATCCCATACACTGCTCCTTCCATTACCCCTTAATATATTGTATTCATGGCTTTATCCAATTCCCTTTAAAATGTTTTTTCAGATTCAGCTTCAATGCCATTTGTTGCAAAACAGTTTGCATTCTAAGAACCCTCCGTATAAATAAAAACCCTCCTTTACCTCTAGTCATAATCTTCAATTTATACCCTCGTTATTGATTAAATAACAATTTATATAGTGCATATCATGTCTGGAGGACATCTAAAAGTACTTCACATAACTAACTGGGAGAGGCAGAGAGGGAGAAGTTGATGAGGTGTGGAGAGGTGGCTGAAAGGAAGTTAAACTGTTAGGCTTAAGTGGGTTTTGCAGTTGGGGAGGGAAGCAGCAAGACAGAAACATGTAGGGATGGAGTTTCAAAGAGCGGAGCAGAAAGGATGAAAGCTCACCCACTGATGACAGGGTGCAGTAGATGGGAACATGAAGCAGGTCAGTGTTTTCTGAGTGGATGGGCATGGGCAGAAAGTCAGAGGAAGTCGAGGCAAGCTATTGAGGTATTTGATTATTGAGTTTGAACCACTGGGAGATCTAGAGCCAGTGGAGCCAAGGGAGGATTGGAGTGATAGGCTTACAGGGCTTGGTACAGGAGAGGACAGGGACTGCAGAGATCCTGATGACCTGCGGCCTGTGTGGGGAGGAGTTGTAGGGAGAGAAGAGGGTATTCAAATAGTTAAATCTTGAGTGATGAAGAGGTGGATGGAGATGTCAGCAACCTACACATTGTCTAGAGTAGTGGTGGAGGTGGATGATGTTGTGGAGGTGAGGGAAAACAGAAGGAGTGACAGCTTGGAAGTAGGGTTTGAAGGATGGTTGAGTTGAGAGGCACTGAAGTTAATCACAGTCAGCGCAAAAGCTCACGGTCTTATCAGTCAAAATCTTTTGAACTTTCTCTATTTACACAATCGAAACTATTCATAATTTTGAAAAGCTCCATTAGATTTTCCCCATAATCTTTTCTATTCCAGCAAAAAAGGCTTCTTAGTTCTCTCCACATAACTATAAACCTCTTATATTTATGTTGTCCTAGCAAATCTTCACTGTGCTTCCTCTATTGCTGGTGCACTGCTGAGGGCAATTGGCTGCGTTTCGCCCACACAATTTACACTCAATTCACTTTATAGTACATTCTGTGAACCATTTTGAGATGTCTTGAAGATGTGATAAGGTGTTATATCAAATGCAAGCATCATTATTATTATTATGATACTTGCATTTGATTTCGCTCCTTGATTCATCATCGAGTCATCTCAAAGTGCTTCACTGGATTTTATTTTGAACTGTGGTGGCTGTGTATTTGCAAGCAAATGCAACAGCAAATTTGCGTACAGCAATATCTCATAAACAGCCGGAGACAGTCATGTTCTTTCTATTACGTGATGTGAAATACCAGATCCAATACTTCAACTACAACCTGTACATATTTACTTTATCTCCTTGCTCTCCTATGCCTCAACATAAAAATCAAAAGTTCTTATTCATATCACAGTTCTTATGATATGAATATCATAATATGAGTTTTTACTCATATTATTAAAAATAATAAATAAGTTGGTCACTCAATCCACGATTGTTTGTAGAACACTACTGTGCGTAATTGGATGCCGCGATTTGCCACAAAATATACAGTCAAATCACTTTACAGTATAGTATGTGAAGTGGCACCAAACATGTCTCGGACACGATAAAGCGCTATATTAAATGCAAGGAATATTATTATTATAGGTCTATATGAGATGTTCAATTGACTAGAAACTGGGTGCCTACTTGCTTCTAGGTAAACAGAGGCATGTGGAGTAAGGAAACTTGCCCAAGGTTTCGCCCTGCCAGGAATTGAATCTCGAGGCGAGGCGAGCATGCTAACCACTATGCTCCGGGACTCCACGGCTCCATATATCAACTCAGTGACAAAAACTTTCACGAATGAGATGAAAGACATCTCCTGTAATAATAGCACACACCCTACGAATGTTGTCTTAAAAAAACATAATTACTAATTAAAAACTCTATGAGTAATGATTTCTGATTCACCCTATATACAACCTAGGATTCCATTCATTTTTTAATACTCTTAACTGCTTACACTCTTACCTTTAAAGACTTATGCATCTGTACTCTGAGATCTCTGCTTCTCTGCTTTGCTAACAATGTTACTATCTAGAATAGATTATTTTTCTTTGTCCCTCTTCCCAAAACATACTACTTTACATTCTTTACATATCGATACTAACTCAACAATCTCACCTAAAGGTTTCTTTAGGCCATGTAAACCTTTCTTAAGGTTTGATGTGGTCAGACATAATTAATGACAATTCAGCAGCAAGATGTCAAATAACATTATTAGTAGAAACAAAATGCTATATCCACCAAGTTTGCACTGTTTTATCTCACACTCTGGTAATGCAAATATTAGGATTCTTCTACTACAAAATCACACAGAGCGATAAATGATTGTTTAATTCAGAGTGAAATTATCAACACATTGAACACATTATGATCACAAAGTTGATCACATTGCGATAAAGTTAAGTTATTAAGCAATGGGTTATCTTTTGAAAAGCCAGTCTGGCAATCTGCTCAAAACAGCGACTTGATTCTGGACTTGAAAAGTAAATATGAACGACCTGAGAAACAAAACTGTTTGGAATTTCTTGCAAAAAGGGAGAGACAAATAATATTGTTACACCAAACTACAACTGCAAAAATATAAATTTAACTCACCAAAGTATCTAACTATAGATCAGATCAAAGTTAAACTCAATTAGTACAATCTTATTTTGAGAAAAGAATAAACAGATGTTCTGACTCTGCCAATAGAAGACTCAGACTACATGATAAACTACAATCTCTTGCGATGCACTCGGAAAATGCATTTTTAAACATATACAAGCTGTTGGACGGGATTTAAAGATATATATGTACATAAACCAAAATTCTTGATATGATAGTTGTGTGTTTGCATAGGTTATTGTCCAATTATTCTTACAGTTAATATATTGGATAATAATGCATGTACGTTTGTGCACAATCATTTACAATGTCTCAGACGCAAAAATATTACTGTGTGTGACTCATCATGACTAGGAGTCCATGTTCCAGGCCCTCTTCTGCATCGATGCAACTCATGCTTTGTCTGGAGGAAACACTGCCAATCTCATTGGATATTTGTGGGAGACACAACAACCTGTAAGGGTAACTCCTGCATCACTCAAGTGTGCCTCCTGGTGGGTTAGCACACCAGATGATAAACAGTCACTATATGGAGCTAAATTGAGATGAAGGAAAATGGGGAGAAAGTATAGAAGAGGTACCATTAATTATGCATGCGCGTTTCTAGTAATGGCCCTCAGTTTAAGACGTAGAGTTTCATTCAACCAATTTCACTGTCTTTTGCCTTCCAAATGGGCAATCATTCTGAATTGTTTACAACCTTATATTTTTTTAATGAACTAATTATAAAAGTAAATATGATTGGGCCCTTGTCTCTCTCCCCCTCTCTGGCTGTCAATGTATGTCTCATCGTTTTCACTTATTTGATTTTATTCCACTATTTTACTCAATTTATCAATAATTAAAGTAAACCTTTCCTGCTTCATGTTTCTTTATAAATCCGTGAATCTGACTGAACATTAAAAGATCAGTGATGGAAAAGTGAGATGACATTTTAGAACAATGAACCAAATAGAGTAGATGATATACAAGTTTCTGCAGGATCACAGATTTGATGCAAACATCAGAAGCGGGATGGTGTCCAGATCCACACTGTAATTCGATTCTTTCGCTGTGACCATGTATTTTATTCTCCGTGCTTTCCATGTTAATGCCTGGTGAGCTGCAGGGTCCCCAAAATAAACATAAGACTGTGCAGTGAAAGTCCATCGATTCTTTTAATCTGATTGAATTGTGTGGTGGCGCACAGTGGGGTTAGTGAGAGCCTGAGCTGGGTCAAGGCGTTTTCACCGAAAGGTCGGCTCGCTCTGACTGCTAAAGGCATTAAGGGGATTGAAATGCGGGGAATTTCCATGGACTGAACAGATCTGGCTATAACACTCCAGAAATTCCTTGTGGATCCTGCCTTTCCCATCTGATTGCCCATGTACTGTCATTTACAAGCGCAAAATGTACTAAGACCCAGCAACCCTTTCCAGATCACTGAAACCCAAGACCCAGAGAACCCGCATTTCAGACATTAGAAATCATTTCACACAGTCCAGCAAAATACCGCTACAGCCAAAGTCAGTGTCATATTGCCTTCAGTTACAGTCAATATTTGGAATCAACCACAAGTGGGGAAACAATTGTACAAACTAAATGCGACTTCGGATTTCTGCAAGTACAGGGAGAGGGGTTTGGGGAGAGGAAAGAGGGGTTTGGAGAGAGGGGAGAGGGGTTTGGGGAGTGGAGTTTGGGGAGACGAAAGAGGGGTTTGGGGAGAGGGGAGAAGGGTTTGGGGACAGGAAAGAAGGGTTTGGGGAGGGGGGAGAAGGGTTTGGGGAGAGGGGAGAAGGGTTTGGGGAGAGGGGAGAAGGGTTTGGGGAGAGGGGAGAAGGGTTTGGGGAGAGGGAGAAGGGTTTGGGGAGAGGGGAGAAGGGTTTGGGGAGAGGAGAGAAGGGTTTGGGGAGAGGAAAGAAGGGTTGGGGAGAGGGGAGAAGGGTTTGGGGAGGGGGGAGAAGGGTTTGGGGAGAGGGGAGAAGGGTTTGGGGAGAGGGGAGAAGGGTTTGGGGAGAGGGGAGAAGGGTTTGGGGAGAGGAAAGAAGGGTTGGGGAGAGGGGAGAAGGGTTTGGGGAGGGGGGAGAAGGGTTGGGGAGAGGGGAGAAGGGTTTGGTGAGAGGGGAGAAGGGTTTGGGGAGAGGAAAGAAGGGTTGGGGAGGGGGGAGAAGGGTTTGGGGAGAGGGGAGAAGGGTTTGGGGAGAGGAAAGAAGGGTTGGGGAGAGGGGAGAAGGGTTTGGTGAGAGGGGAGAAGGGTTTGGGGAGGGGGGAGAAGGGTTTGGGGAGAGGAAAGAAGGGTTGGGGAGGGGGGAGAAGGGTTGGGGAGGGGGGAGAAGGGTTGGGAGGGGGGGAGAAGGGTTTGGGGAGGGGTGGGGGGGAGAGAGAGGGGATATTCATATCCTCTGAACACGATATTCTGACCTGGATGAACGGGAGGCGCTGCTCCGGGTCCAGTCCCCGCAGCACAGGGTGTAGTGGGTTTCTGGAGGAACACTCTGAACCTGGATGGACCGTGTGATCACAGCCCGACCGCAAGACCCGGCAATCAGCAAACCGTCTCCCTCATTTGTTTTATATATATAAAGATATATTATATATATATCTACATCTACACATCAAAAGAAAACTTTCTTTCGGGGGAGTCCGTGTGACATTTCTCCGCCACGAGCGGCGGTGCCTTCAGCTGCACAGAAGTTGGTGTTTCTGGACGCGGTGATGATCACCTTCGCTCACTTTAATTTGGCCCATAGTCAGTTTGCTACCGGGGGGGTCTCCAGCCTGAGGGGGGGGGGGGGGGGAGGGGGAGAGGAGGGGGGAGAGAGAAGGGGGGAGAAGGGGGAGAGGAGGGGGGAGAGAGAAGGGGACAGGAGGTGGAGAGGGGGGGAGAGAAGGGGAGGAGAGAAGGGAGGAGAGGAGGGGGAAAGGAGGGGGAGAGAGAAGGGGAAAGGAGGGGGAGAGGAGGGGGAGAGAGAAGGGGGAAAGGAGGGGGGAGAGGAGGGGGGAGAGAGAAGGGGAAAGGAGGGGGGAGAGGAGGGGGAGAGAGAAGGGGGAAAGGAGGGGGGAGAGAAGGGGGGAGAGGAGGGGGGAGAGAGAAGGGGAAAGGGGGGGGAGAGAAGGGAAGGGGGGGAGAGAGAAGGGGGAAAGGAGGGGGAAAGGAGGGGGAGAGAGCGAAGGGGGAGAGAGAAGGGGAGAGAGAAGGGGGAAAAGAGGGGGAGAGGAGGGGGAGAGAGAAGGGGAAAGGAGGGGGGAGAGGAGGGGGGAGAGGGGGGGGAGAGAGAAGGGGGAAAGGAGGGGGGAGAGAGAAGGGGGGAGAGGAGGGGGGAGAGAGAAGGGGGAAAGGGGGGGGAGAGAGAAGGGAGGAGAGGGGGGGGAGAGAGAAGGGGGAGAGGAGGGGGAGAGAGAAGGGAGGAGAGGAGGGGGAGAGAGAAGGGGGAGAGGAGGGGGAGAGAGAAGGGAGGAGAGGGGGGGAGAGAGAAGGGAGGAAGGAGGGGGGAGAGAGAAGGGGGAGAGGAGGGGGAGAGAGAAGGGGGAGAGGAGGGGGGAGAGAGAAGGGGGAAAGGAGGGGGGAGAGAGAAGGGGGAGAGGAGGGGGAGAGAGAAGGGAGGAGAGGAGGGGGGAGAGAGAAGGGAGGAGAGGAGGGGGGAGAGAGAAGGGGACAGGAGGTGGAGAGGGGGGAGAGAAGGGGGGAGAGTAGTGGGGGGGAGAGAAGGGGGGAGAGTGGTGGGGGGAGAGGAGGGGGGGGGGGGGGGGATCTGCTTTTCTCCCCCAAACCAGGAACTGGCAGCTGAGGGATTGCACCCTCCACAGCCGGAGGGGAATACAATGAATTGTCGGAATTTATGCTTCTGATGGTGGGAACACAGTCTGTCGCTTCCCAGCGTTTCTCTGCCCAGCACTACCGATCTGCAAATAAAAGAACACGCAAATAAAAGATCTGCAAATAAAAGAACACGCAAATAAAAGATCTGCAAATAAAAGATCTGCAAATAAAAGATCTGCAAATAAAAGTTCACTCGATATCATGTCAGCACTACTGGGCTTCTTTTTTTTCAATTATTTTTTGGAGAAAGAGAAAGAAAGAGAGAGAAACAGAGAGAGAGAGAGAGAGAGTGTGTGTGTGTGTGTGAGAGAGAGAGAGAGAGAGAGAGAAATAAACCTTGACTTTTTTTGCAAATCGCGTCCAGCAAGTTGTTTGCAAAAAACACACACACACACACACACCAAGTGAAGGCAGGTAAGTCAGCAAAGTGTCCCGTTTGCTGGTGGAAGCTACTTCGTGAGGGATAAATGTGGTGAGGTGGAGCTTACCTGGTCTCACTGCACAGGGCTCACTGCTTCACTCTGGGTCTGTCTCCTTGTGGATCCTGTGGTCAGACACACACACAACACACACACTCACTCACACGGTGAGTGCTCCAACCAGGACTGAGCGCTGAGCTGAGCTAAGCTGAAGCTGGGCTGGGAGCTGGGCTGAGCTGAGCTGGGCTGGGCTGAGCTGGGCTGGGCTGGGAGCTGAGCTGGGCTGGGCTGTGAGGTGCTGGGCTGGGCTGTGAGGTGCTGGGCTGGGCTGGGCTGAGCTGGGCTGGGCTGGGAGCTGGGCTGGGAGCTGAGCTGTGCTGGGCTGGGAGCTGGGCTGGGCTGGGCTGGGAGCTGGGCTGGGCTGGGAGCTGGGCTGGGCTGGGAGCTGGGCTGGGAGCTGGGCTGGGCTGAGCTGGGAGCTGGGCTGGGAGCTGGGCTGGGCTGGGCTGAGCTGGGAGCTGGGCTGAGCTGGGAGCTGGGCTGGGCTGGGCTGGGAGCTGGGCTGAGCTGGGCTGGGCTGGGCTGGGAGCTGGGCTGGGAGCTGGGCTGAGCTGGGAGCTGAGCTGGGAGCTGGGCTGAGCTGGAGCTGGGAGCTGGGCTGGGAGCTGGGCTGGGCTGGGCTGAGCTGGGAGCTGGGCTGAGCTGGGCTGGGAGCTGGGCTGGAGCTGGGGGAGCTGGGAGCTGGGGCTGGGCTGGGAGCTGGGCTGAGCTGGGAGCTGGGCTGGGCTGGGCAGGGGCTGGGGAGCTGGGCTGAGCTGGGAGCTGGGTGAGCTGGGCTGGGAGCTGGGCTGGGCTGAGCTGGGAGCTGAGCTGGGCTGAGCTGGGCTGGGAGCTGGGCTGAGCTGGGAGCTGGGCTGAGCTGGGAGCTGGGCTGGGCTGGGCTGAGCTGGGAGCTGGGCTGAGCTGGGAGCTGAGCTGGGCTGAGCTGGTGGGCTGGGAGCTGGGCTGAGCTGGGAGCTGGGCTGAGCTGGGAGCTGGGCTGGGCTGGGCTGAGCTGGGCTGGGCTGGGAGCTCGCTCATCTGGGAGGAGAGCAAACAGGGAGCCTTTGCCATCACGTGATGATTTCCCATTTCTTACAAGGAATATGACGCACACTGGGTCCAGGACAGGGACTTGCAGCCTTCCTCTCACCCTGAAGGTTATCCCTCATCCCTCTCTGTGTGTACCTCCCAGCCTCACTGACCACTCTGAGATTCTCTGGCTATTATCCCCCCCCCCACCCCAGGGCTCTGTCCTTGGCCCTCTCCCCTTTAGTATCTACATGCTCCCCCTTGGTGTCATCATCCGCAGACATGGGGTCAACTTCCACATGTACGCGGATGACACCCGACTCTATCTCTCTGCCTCCACCCTCAACTCCAGGACCACTGCTGTCCTGACAGACTGTCTGTCGGACATCAAGTCCTGGATGAGGGCAAACTTCCTACAGTTGAATGTGAACAAGACTGAGGCCCTCCTGATTGGGTCGCGCCAGCGCCTCAGCACCTCAGGCTCTGGCAGCATCAACCTCCATGGTTGCACACTACAAACTCACCAGCCAGTCAGGAACCTCGGTGTCTTGTTCGATCCTCAACTGTCTTTTCTCCGCCACATCCAAGCCATGACCCGCTCTGCCTTCCCTCACCTCCATAACATCACCCGACTCCGCCACTACCTCACCCCTCAGGCCGCTGAAACTCTTGTTCATGCCTTCGTCACCTCCAGGCTCGACTATGCAAACCCCCTGCTTGTCAGCCTTCCCCTCTCCTCCCTCCACAGGCTGCAGATAATCCAGAACTCTGCAGCCCGTGTCCTCTCCGCACCAAACTCCGTGACCCCATCTCCCCCATTCTCGCCCGACTCCACTGGCTCCCTATCCATCAGAGGATCCAGTTCAAGATCCTGGTCCTCACATACAAAACCCTCCATGGCCTCGCCCCACCCTACCTTTGCAACGTCCTTACCCCCTTACCAACCCGACTGTTCCCTCCACTCAGCCGGCTCTGGCCTGCTCCCTGTCCCCCGACCCACCCGCCCCACCATTGGCAGGAGAGCCTTCAGCCACTCGTCCCCTCCTTAGCCTCCTTCAAGTCCCGCCTCAAGACCATCCTCTTCGACCATGCCATTGGCCACCCACCTTCCCCTCCCCTACCTTACCCCCCCAACCCCAGCTCGGGTCTGAAATGCTGTACTTTGTCCAGCGCCTTGGGACGTCCTCCCGACGTGAAAGGCGCTATACAAATGCAATCTTGTTGCTCTCTCTCTCCCTCTCTCTCGCCTTTGATCTTAATGTTTCACCCTAAAGAAAATCACACAAGGGCAACAATGTCAAATGCTTAGACCTCCATTCAGTGCATGCAGGATATAGTCCAGTCTCACAGAGTGGCAATGGAGATTTTAAGTAGTTTTGATAGCAGAAGTTGCCCTGCCCTCTGCTCCCTGATTTCCCTTTCTAAGCTTCCCCCAGTCATCAGGAACCTCAGTCATTCATCATGAAATGCTTCTCAGTTTTACCCAACAAATGACCAACAGTCATCTGCTCATGCAGCCCTGGGAGCCTCTGCTCCCTGTTTCACACAAGGAAACCCTGGCCTGACCTGACCTAAAGTACAGAAGCTCACCGCGAGTGTCACCTTTCTCATAACATCTTAATCTCCCATCAACTCAGCCAATTCACTGCGGCAGGAGAGTCACACGACTAGTAACAGCAAGGTGTTTGTTATTGGATACATGGCGGCTGTTTAGTGCATGTTATGCAAGGAGTTGCAGAGAGGGGAGGTGAGACAGGTCCCAGGGGAATGGGAAAGGCTGCAAGCTTTTCCCGGACTCGTTATTACAGAGATGACTTTTGTACATTCACTTCTCGGGGTGTCAATTGAGATGACTGGGCTGCTAATAGTTACCTGTCCCGAGGTATGTTCTGTGTGATTTACTGTACAATGTGTAAAGTAGGGCATGAGCAACAGCGATCATACACAGGCACAGACTTTCTTCTCTTAATCCACAAAACCTTCAGCTCTTCCTATGAGTTATCCAACGTACTTTTCTTCCCAGCCACTACTTATTTCTTAAACAATCTCTTCCCGGGTTTCGAAATGACTTTTACAGCAGACATCCAGCTGTTTAAAGCGTTTTATTGCAGGGATGTAATGTGTGTTTTAAATCTATTAAACAGTCAACATCATTTTACAGTAAGTGGCCTCATCTCCCGCTGATTTGTAGCAGAATGGTCAGAGAAAAAACACACTGCCAATGAAACATAAGGGTTTATTGCATTCCG